AAAAAAAAAAAAAAAATGCCACACATGGGGGTGGTGAGATGGTTCCATGGTTAAAGCACTTTATGGTGCAAGCCTGGTGACCACAGTTTGATCCTCAGAGCCTATATAAGAGTGGAGAAAATGAATGACTCCATCAAGTTGTCCTCTGACTCCCACATGTTCACTGTGGCAAACAAACTCACACACATTATGCATAGGTACATACTGCTAAACTATTAATTCTTCCCCACATGCACACCCATCCACTAGATACTGACCACACAAGGAGACAGAATAAGGCAATGCATTCCTCTGGTTGTAAAATACTCACTTCCAATCCCGAGAGATAAAATACTGCAGCTCTAGGAGTCGGTGTTCACAGTCTTCTACCATTTTCTCTGTATATAAATGTTCCATCAAACATGAAAGAATCCTGGCCATAACAAGGTGAAATTAATTATAATGAAAGAAACATTCTGATGACAGGCTCCAAAAATCTTATTTCAATACAGTATTTCCCTACGGTGACATGATTTATTTTTCTGAGATTCACACAAATTAACTTAACTTTACAATAATTATTTCTTTTACCAGCTTTAAGTCATTTTGCACTTCAAATTCTGCAAACATAAGATCTATGTAGCAGCTTTGTTTTTAATCATTTACTATGAAAACTTTCCAATTTATACAAGAGTAGAAAATAGTGTACTGACCACTCTTCCTCCCTGGACCTCCTGTGAACCTATAACCAAATTTGTTTTAACTCAGTGTCTCTTGCTGATAATCAAGGTAATTCTCAGTAATTCTCTAAACTACTTCTCTAAAATTTGAGATCATTATCATATCCACAGCAACAACAAAAGGCAAATCCTTCATTTAAAATAAAATCCTGTGTTCCCCCCTCAAATATTTTCAACTAGCTCATGTCTTTTTACATGTTTGTTCAAATCAAGACCTAGCAAAAGGCTACACAATGTACATAATCAAAGTGCTGGGGATGGAGAGATGTGTCAGTGTTTAAGAGCACTGATTGCTCTTCAACAGCTCTCAGCTCAATTCCCAGCACCCCCATAACTGCTCTGGTTCCAGGGAATCTGATGTTCCCTTCTAGACACTGTGTTTTACCAGGCAAGCAGGTAGGTCAGACATGTATGCTGGGAAAACACCATACACATAAAATATATCTCCTTCTTTTCCCCTGCCCCTTTTCTGTTATTATACTATAAACACCCTTAGTTTATGTATGCACGTACACCTCCTTTAAATATAAAAAGCTTTTAAGCAAGAATTCTGTTTTAATTTCCTATTGCAACATGAGCAGTGGGAGCTTTCACACAGAAGAATGGTAATAAACCCTGACTGCATTCACTTTATTGTTAGGCACTGCTATAAAGAGTTATGTAGCCAGCAGAGGTGACTCATGCCTTTAAGACCAGTACTCAGGAGGCAGAGGCAGGCAGGCAATCTCTGAGTTGGGAGCCAGCCTGGTCCACAAAGCAAGTTTCAGGAGAGCCAGGGCTATACAGAGAAACACTGTTTAGAAAAACTAAAAAAGAAAACAAAAATCCTAACAAACAAGCAAAGAAATAAAGTTATGTAGAACAGGAAACCTGTTCTTATTTGCAATCTGTTTTTAGGACCTGTTTTCATATCATATGGAATAAAAAGAATGAAAATCAAATATTTTATATTAATTTGAGCATTTAATTAGCTTTTTGATATCTTGGATAAAATGCTACTATTCAGTTTGCCTGTGGCCATAGCTTCTAAATATTGCATCTTGTCTTTGGTCTCAATTATGATCAACTGCTTTCTGATGATTTTCAAGTAGCCAATGTTCAAAAGGATGAAAAGGATAGAGTGCCAGTGTATAATGTCACTTTATCCTGAGTGCTTCTGCACTATAGGAAGTTAGTCAGTGACTAAGAGAGGTCCATATATGCCCAGACATTGTCCACAAATACCATCACAGCTCTGGGTTTAGATGTCTCTTTATCATGGATGAGGCATATCAGAAGTCTCAATTTCAATAGTAGTTTTAACAAAAGTTTGGTATGTGTCCCCGTTCAACAAAATTTCAGTCAAGATGTTAAGCTACTCAAAAGTAATTAAAGGGAATGTTCTTTGTGCTGTCAAATACAATACAATACAATATGGATAGTGCTACAAGTAAGAGAACCTACATTGGGTCTCCAGATCGTATGTGTTTGCAGGCTGTCTGTATTACAGATTCACAAGCTTCATTCAAAGCTCGATCAATGCGGTAATCTGCTCCAGGGTCAGTCTCCTGAATCAGTGTCTGAAGCTGGGTTGGAAAAGACAAAGTAAATTAGTCCCAGAGAAGAGCAAAGCCATATCATCAGACGCTCAGTCCAGCATATCACAACACAATCTAAACAAGGCTCTACAAATGTTACTGGCCCAAGTTGAAAAGCTCTGATGGAACATTTTCCAATTTTTTCTCTACTTGCTCCAAGTTATCTTTTCAAAAAAATCTTTTTTTTTAAAGATTTTATTTATTTATTATGTACACAACATTATGCTTCCATGTATATCTTCACACCAGAAGTGGGCACCGGCTCTCATAACAGATGGTTGTGAGCCACCACGTGGTTGCTTGGAATTGAACTCATGACCTCTGGAAGAGCAGTCAGTGCTCTTAACCTCTGAGCCATCTCTCCAGCCCCTCCCAAGTTTTTCTTTTGAAGTCACTGTGGTACTTGCATATTTACCTGGTTTGACCCTTCACTGGACATCTGAAAACAAGTCTTTACAATATGCCTATACAGGCTGCCTCCTGACTAATCAGATTTCTCAACCTGCTGCTTAGAAGGAAGCCAGAGTTGAAATGAGCAAAAGAAAGCTCTAAGTAGAGACCAATTTGATCCTAGCAAAGCTATAAATTTCACCAAAATGACATTGGTACATAACAAGTACATTATGTTTTATTAAGGCAGATGTGAGGGATTTCAATTAATTCACAGCTGGAATTAGAAAACAAGAATGTGTTGGGCAGGTGATGGTGCACACCTTTGATCCCAGCACTCAGGAGGTAGAAGCAGGATGATCTCTGAATCCAAGGCCAGCCTGATCTACAGAGTGTGTTCCAGGACAGCCAGGGAACTCAACACAGAGAAACCCATCTTGAAAAAACAGACAGACATACAAACAAAAAACAAAACAAAAATAAGAAAAGAAAACAAGAATTGTTATAATTTTTTACTTTTTGCCAACTATATTTATACCATAAGAATCACAAATGCTTGCTGTAAAGCACCGGAAACAGAATACATTCTATTTGATCTACTTTTGCTTGGCCCATCCTTTATTGTGGAATAAAGGCAGGAAAACAGGCACCTCAGAATGGAGCACCGAAGAAACTGGATCAGAAGACCCAAGTTCAAGTAATGATTCTGCTCCCGTGTAACATTAGCTTTGAGAACTTGACAGGTTCATCTGACTCTAGGTTTTCATACTACCTCTATTTTTCCTGCATTTTTATTTTATGAATATGAGTGAATATGAGCCTACATGTGTATCTGTGCAACCCATGAACATTACAGCACCTGGAGGCCAGAAGAGGGTGTCAGATCCCCTGGGAGTAAAGCTACAGATGTTTTAAGGAATAATGTGGGTGTTGGGAAATGAACTCAGATTCTCTGAGTTCATGCTCTTAATTCCAGAGCCATCTCTCCAGCCCAACACATTTTAGTCCTTTTAACTGGAGATTTTTTGTCTTGAGTTTCTGAGATGGGATTTCTCTGTGTAGTCCAAACCATCCTGTCACTTGCTCTTTAGACCAGGCAGGTCTTGAACTCAGAGATCCACCATCCTCTGCCCACTGAGAGCTGGGATTAAATGTGTGTGCTCTGGCCTTAAACTGCAGATTTTAAGAAATGGCCAAGTGTGGTGGTGTGCATCTTTAACCACAACACTCAGGTTGCAGAGACAGGCAGAACTGTGTTGAGTTCAAGGCCAGCCTGTTTAGAATGAATATATACATATATCTCAAGACATACACAGTGAGATCCTATCCCCAAACAAAAAACACACAGATAGTCAAACAAAAATTAATAATACATGAAAAAAGGTAAGGTAAATTGCAAAGCATTACAGAAGATTGTTATTACTACAGATGGGTGGCATATGGGGTTGTGGAATGGAAATCCTTTTTTTTTTTTTTTTTTTTTAAATTTTTTTAAAAATTTATTTATGATGTATATAGTGTTCTGCCTGCATGTATGTCTGCAGGCCACAAGAGGGCACTAGATCTCACTACAGATGGTTGTGGGATACCATGTGGTTGGTTGCTGGGAATTGAACTCAGGACCTCTGGAAGAGCAGCCAGTGCTCTTAACCTCTGGGCCATCTCTCCAGCCCCTGGAGTGGAAATCTTAAACAAGAGAAAGAAAAACAGAAAATTACAACCCTTACTGGTTTAAGTTTTTTTTACCTCCTTAGGAATTGAACAGTTTTTGGGTTCAGAGGTTAAGAGCATTGACTGCTCTTCCAGAGGTCCTGATTCAATTCCTGGCAACCACAGGGTGACTCACAGCCATCTACACTGGGATATGATGCTCTCTTCTGGCATAAAGGTGTACATGCAGATAGAGAACTAAAAAACAATCAGGGGCTGGGCCACAGTGCAGCATACCTTTAATTCCAGCACCAGGGAGGCAGAGGCTCTCTGAGTTCAAGGCCAGCCTCGTTTACAGAGCAAGTTCCAGGACAGCAAGGGCTACATAGAGAAACCCTGTCATGAAAAACAAACATACAACAAAACAAAACAAACAAACAAAAATGGAAAAGAAAACAAACTGAGCTAGATGCTGTCATGAATGTCTTTAAAGCCAGGCCTTGGGAGGCAGAGGCAGGTAGATCTCTGTGAGTTCAAGACGAGGCTTGTCTACATAGCAAATTCTAGGGCAGCCAGCACTATATAGAGTGACCCTGCCTTAAAAAAGCAAAAATAAAAACAAATAAGCTGATGTTATGTTGTGCATGTATTCTGGCTCCTAGAATTAAAGAAAAGCTTCAGAGAGAATATGCCTGGAGAACAGACTGTGCAGTCATCCCTGATGTGAGAAAGCAAGGGCTGAACTCCATTAGTCATAATCCAAGATAACTTAATAGTTGGTGATTGTAGTATTTGGAGGAGCATATATTCATTAACATAATAATTATCCATATGCTTTATAGCTCAGTACTTGCTGATGACTGTTAGCAGGTCACTAAATTAATCCAAGCAGAGATGAATATAATTAATGGTCAATTACAGGTATTGAAGTCTGCTGTGCCAAGGAAGAAAACTTTCAAACTGAAAAGAAATCTACCCAAATTGCTTTAAAGCATTCATCAGTTTAAGGATGGATAGCATAGATGACTAAGGAAGACTCTCTCCCTTTGGAGAAATGTCTTTAGTTTTATGGGGGTGGGGGGAAGCTTAAAAAAAAAATCCATACAATAAAATGAAGTGTTTCTAAGTTTCCTAAGCTAGTCTTAATGTAGTCAAAACCACGATTGTGGCTACCCTCTGGGTTTGGAAAGTACTGTTTCTGGGCACAAAGGGTGATGTGGGTGGTACTTATTTATCTTTGAAGCTGAGTCACTAGTTCTTTCAACAAGCTAACTTTCAGAAAGCCTGGGGAGTGAACTATGTAACTTACAAGTTGAGTCCAGTCTATTTTCTTTTCCTGAACACTTTACAGCAGGTGTAGGCTGAGTAGAGATAAAAATCATCCCCCCCCCCCACTGCTTCCTTCCACAACCTTTCTAGATGGAATTAAGGATGAAGCAAATGCAGCAGAGGCTGTCTCCTGATTCACCCTGGACTGTAGCCAGGCGGATTCATTGGCCTGGAGGGCAACTAGGGCAATTGCCATCAAGGAGGACTACAGAGGAACTAATCTCCAACAACTCAGTCCACAGTAGGTTCCAGAAGCTTTCCTTCTAGCTGATTTTTCTATTTTAGAGAAGAGGCTACAGTTGCCTTTTCACCCCACCATAAGATGCATTATGAACTGTACAATGTTGTCTACTCTGGGTCAGTTAACAGAAGCTAAGGTGAAATTTTACTTCATATCCAAAGCTTATGTAAGTTTGTGTTTCAGACTACTAAATCTTGTTACAGACCAAAATTCTGCTTTTTACATGATTAGCTAAAAAATAAAATTCAAGTATTAGTTTTTAATAAAAGTGCCAAAAAGTATAAAATGAATTGTGGTTTTCTTTCTTTTTTAATAATTTATTTTTATTTTATGTGCTTCGGTATTTTGCCTGCATGTATGTCTGTGTGAGGGTGTCAGATCTTGGTGTTACAGGAAGTTGTGAGTTGTCCTGTGAGTATTGAGAACTGAACCCAGATCTACTGGAAGAACAGTTAGTGCTCTCAACTCCTGAGCCATCTCTCCAGCCCCAAATTATGGTTTTCTAAAGTGATGCTTAAGTTATAAAACTAAAGTATCTTTCATGCTTTAGCAGGGCGGTGGTGGTACATGCCTGTAATCCCAGCACTAGGGAGGTAAAGGCAGGCAGATCATTGAGTTTGAGGTCAGCTTGGTCTACAAAATGAGTTCCAGGACAGCCAAAGCTGCTACATAGAGAAAACCTGTCTTGAAAAACAAAACAAAAAGGGGAGGGAGCTAGGAGAATGAGAAGGGGAGAAGAGGAGGGGTGAGGAGGACGTGAGGGAGCAGAAAGGTTGAGTTGGGGGAAGCACAGAAGAAAACAAGAATGGAGATACCATAATAGAGGGAGACATTTTAGGTTTACAGAGAAATCAGGCACTAGGGAAATGTCTGGAGACCTACAAAGATGACACCAGCTGACAATCTAAGCAATAGAGGAGAGGCTACCTTAAATGCACTCGCCTGATAATGAGATTGATGACTTACTTATATGCCACCTGATAGCCCTCATCCAGCAGCTGGTAAAAGTAGAAGCAGACACTCACAACTAATCACTGAACTGAACTGGAATCCAGTTGCAGAGAAGGACGAGTGAAGAGCAAAGGGGTCCAGACCAGGCTGGTGAAACCCACAGAAACAGCTGACCTGAACATCGGGGAGCTCTTGCTCCCCAGACTGACAGCTGGGATACCAGAATGGGACTAATTCAGACCCCAGGAACATGGGTTTCAGTGAGGAAACCTCAGAAATCTATGGGACCTCCTGTAGAAATTCAGTACTTATCCCTAGTATAGGGGTGGACTTTGTGAGCCCATTCCATATAGAGGAATACTCCCTGAGCCAAGACACATGGGGGTGGGCCTAGGCCCTATCCCAAAGGACATGACAGACTCTGATGACACCCTCCAGGGGGAGTAGGGTTTTAGATAGGGGGAGGTGGGAGGAGGGGAAGGAGAGGGACCTGGGATTGACATGTAAAACAATTTTGTTTCTAATTCAAATAAAAAAAAATCTGCAAATAATAATAATAATAAAATAAAACAAAACAAAAAGTATCTTTCATGCTTCATAAAGGGGAAGTCATTGTAAAGGGAGTTACTGTTGTATTTGGTATTCTAAATTGCACAAGAATTTATTATCCAATAAAAAGTAAGAAACACGGACAAAGTTCATGAGACAAAGGCACTATATTTCGTTGACTCTATATTATGATCTTCAGTTATTGGATTGCTTATGAACACTAGATTGAGAGTCTCTTTATATTCTCCCAACCACCTCTACATCCTTCCCTGTAAAGTTTGGAGCTGGTGAAAGACCTTTCTATTCATAGTTGCCCTGGTTTAATTAATAAAGATAGCGTGATTCTGAAAATGATTCAGGCTTGTGGCATATAACTAAAAAAAGAAACTGCCAGAAATTTTCCATTCACTGTCAATTCTCAGTTTCAACTCAAACTTGTTAAGACAGGCAAGTTCTCTTCTACTAACAGGCTTCCTTGATTTTGCAGAAACTGATTTTCCTTTATCCTGTATTTAGTTATCCAATCTGGCAAGTTCTTTAGAAGCAGGAAAACAATACATTGTTCTTTATCCAACTCCAGAGCTGTTTTTATTGATTATGATTCAAGCTTTGTTGTGTAGCAACTTGTATATCCTAATTAAAACCTGCTCACAGGAACAATATTTGTGTCTATCATTAGTAACTCATGCTGATTCTGATGTCAGAAGTACTCCAGAGAAACTGCCTGACAGGTAAAGGCTCCTTGGCTGATAAATTGTGACAGTAGTTCTGACTAGTTTTATGTCAACTTGACACTTGGACTCATTTGAGAGAAGGCAGCCTCAACTGAGAAAATGCCTCCATAAGATTAGGCTGTATGTAAGCCTGTAGGACATTTCCTTAATTAGTGATTGATGTCAGAGGGCCCAGGCCATCGTGGGGGGTGCCACCCCTGGGGAGGTGGTCCTGGGTTCTATAAGAAAGTAGGCTGAACAAGCCACAAAGGGCAAGCCAGTAAGCAGCAATTCTCTATTAGCCTCTGCATCAGCTTCTGCCTCCAGATTGCTGCTTGAGTTCCTGCCTTGACTTTGTTCAGTAATGAACAAACATAAACCCTTTTCTCCCCAGGTAGCTTTTGGTTATGGTGTTTCATCACAGCAATAGTAATCCTAAAACAATAATCAAGGTAACAGCAGAAATATTTTGCCTTACCGCCTGCTGGCAGTTCATTCCAAGGTTCCCTTTTTCACCCCGAATTACTTTCATCAGACAGTGGAGGGTTCGCCCTTTGCGATGTAATCCAGAGCAGTGATGTTCAATCTCCCCTCGGCAGCTCAGGATGATCTCAGGGCTCAGAGAGAAATCTTCCATCAGCATACGTCGATAATCTAACATCTCCCCTTGGCACTCACTGCTCACTTGTCGCCCTATGTTAGGGGTAAGTCACACAGTTAGGAAAAGTAAGCTTGAGGACCAGTAATCTCTACACATTAAAACACAATTTTCTGTCTGGGAAAAAAAAAAGGCATAATCTTTCTGGATAGAATTAATATGTACATTGAATGCTTAGAACTTGGTAAAAGCTTCAGCAGCATAAAGCAAACAGTCTCCAGAGACCCAGGTTTATCCTGCAGGATTGTATATTACAGAGCTTATGAACTAATAATACAAATGTCTTGCCAAAAGAAGTCCTTTTTTTTTCTTTCCTTTTTTGATGTGGGGGTTGAACTCATGGTTTCATTCATGTTACATAGCACTTAGCCACTGAGCTACATATCCACAGCCCCAGATGTCTTATCAATAAGAAAATTATTAGGGGCAGTAAATAAACCCAGAGAACAATTCTTATTGCCCTAAACAGCTAAAGTTGGTGGAAAAAAAGACTATCCTTCACATATTCACAACATGTCTTTGAGCTATAAATGTGATCGTTGAAAACTGAAAAAAAGCAACAATACCCACTCCCACTCTGCCAACCTAAACATGTAAGTTACCCAGCCAGTTAGTTCAGTGACAGTCATAATCTAAAGTCAAATCACTCTGACCTAAAAGTCATGTAGTATGTAAACCCACTCTTCTAAAGAACAATTCAGAAGTCATCCTACAAATTAAAAGGTCTGAAGGAAACTACTAATTAATTACAGATACAAGAAGCTTCAGAATGGGAACTGGGAAAGGAGTGCAGAGGGGTAAAGGAATAAGCATCACCTCTGTGCACAGCTGACTCCAGGCACATCAGAAGGTAGGAGAGCCTAGCTTCCCGGGACCGAGGAAGGTTTTCCACATTACATCGGTATTTCTTCAAGTCACTCTTACAGGATTTGGCCAATGAATAACTGACTTTATAGTCCTGGGCAATGAGCTTTTGGCGTGTAGTTAATGCTTCTCTACACTGAGGAAAGAGTGTAAGGAGAATGAGACCACTTAACGTACTTCAGCTATCTGAGAAGCATAATCTCAGAACCATGCTTGTCAGCAACTGCACTTTTTACCAAAATGCCTATCTCTAAGTTTGTTTAAAATCTAGTTCTAGATGAGTTCTAGGACAGCCAGGGCTGTTACACAGAGAAACCCTGTCTCGAAAAACAAAACAAAACAAAACAAAACAACAACAACAAAAACCCAACTGGTTCTAGGGTCTGGAGATAAGATTCAGCAGTTAAGAGCACGTAAATCCTTCCACAGGACCCAGGTTCCATTCCCATCATCTACATGGTACCTCACAGCATTCCATTAAGTCCAGTACCAGGGATTCTGAAGCCCTCTTCTAACTTCTGCCAGCATGTACATGGTGCATATACATACACCCAGGAAAAATATTCATACATAAAAAATAATAAATAGTGCACTCGGGAGGCAGAGGCAGGAGGATCTTTGTGAGTTTGAGGCCAGCCTGGTCTACAAGAGCTAGTTCCAGGACAAACTCCAAAGCTACAGAGAAACCCTGTCTCGAAAAACCAAAAATAAATAAATAGATAAATAAAAAATAAATATAGTATGAAAAGACTTAGGAGTAAATCAATGGGAAACTCTGGAATCTGGTGGTGAACTATTAGTTAACTGTTGCTTGAAGGGCAGCATATAATGCTTGGTGGGTAGTAATAGACTAAACATGACACAAAGTATTCTTTCTTCTTCAGCCATACTCCTGGTATAAATTTCACAACATAACTGAAGCCACAGCTGTTATTATAATTGGATATTCTGTTGAACTGAACTTTCTATTTACTCTGAAGACAATAAATACTTCAGCTATATAAAAAAGCAAAAGATGGGTTGCAAAATTAGTTACTTTTCAAAGTGTTAAAAAAGATTCTTGTATCCATATAGTGATAGGACTAATGGTAATAAGAACATTTAAGGAGGTAATACTGAAAATTAAAAAAACTGACTACCTGTGAAGGATATTAGTGTGGTTAGCCTACATTACCTGAGTATGCAGAACTGACATGAATGTTCTGATTTTAAAATTTCTCCAATTTTACTCTCAAATGACTTCTCACTGTTTAAGTATCACAATTTGAGCTTCATTGCTTGCTTTAAGACAAATATATTTTGTTGTTTATTTTTTAATTTATTTATTTACTTTATGGGGGGATAGGGTTGTACTACAACATGTATATGGAGGTCAGAGGTCAATCTGCAAAGGTTGAGTTTCTCCTTCATCATGTGGATTCTGGGATGAACTCAGGTCATCTAGCTTGGCAGCAAGTTCCTTTATCCTCTGAGCAATCTTACCAGGCCTTACTTGCTTTTTAAGATGGAGTATTACTATGTAACCAGACTGGCCTCTAACTTCAGATCCTCCTGCCTTAGCCTTCTAAGTGAGGGTATCACAGTCATATGCCTCCATACTAGGTGCCCAAATATACTTTATGTACATAAAAGTGTCTCAGCTCTGGAGGGAATATGCTTTATCATTCATTCATACCTTAGTAAAGTCAGTTCTGTGGATCCATAGATTGGAATTATTTTGGAAAAAGAAAATTGTGTTTGTAGCAATTATATACAGATGATCTTCTAGTCATTATCCCCTAAACAATATAACGTAGCAACTATCATCCACATTATGTGAGGTATATAAGTATTCTCTCTCTCTCTCTCTCTCTCTCTCTCTCTCTCTCTCTCTGGTTTTTCAAGACAGGGTCCCTCAATGTAGCCCTGGCTGTCCTGGAACTAAGTTTGTAGATCAGGCTGGCTTCAAAATCAAGAAATTTACTTGCCTCTGCCTCCTGAGTGCTGGGATTAAAGAAAGGTGTTTGCCAAAACCACCCAGGATGTGAGTTATTTTAAGCAATCTAGACACTTAAAGTTCACAGGAGAATGTACATAGGTTGTTATACACACAGTATGCTATTTTATATAAGAAACTTGACTGACCACCCTCTGATACTTGGTGAGTATGTGGGTGGTGTTTTGAAACCACAAGACAACTGTGTAATAGAGTTTGATGAAAGCCAGGAGTGGTGGCATATGCTAATCCCAGAACTTGGGAGATAAAAGAAAAAGGATCAGGACTTCAAAGTCACCCTTGGCTCCATATTGAGTTTGAGGACAGTCTGGGGTATGAGACTATGTTCCAGAAACAATCACCCAAACCTAAGCCAAAAAAGAAACAAAAGTTTATTGAAGCATTATGAATTAGTAAAACAATAGTCCCTTCAAAGTGGTACCTTTTCACTCATGGATTCTTCAAATTTATGGTTAAAAAGGCATTTATATACTCTTCCTTCACCAGCTTGTGTCTGTAAGATAAAACATACACATTATTACTATTAGCCAAGTAGTTATTCTATGATATTCCCAGTCTTATACAGAACCTTAACTAAAAATTCAAAATGGCAGGCAGAAAGGGAGGGCATACAGGTGACTCAGTCCTTTGTTGAGATCAGTGAAGTGTATACAAAGGTAACTGCATTCAACCCTCCTCACAGAAAAAAAAAGAAGGAAGCAAAGGAAAGAAAAAAGTAAGGAAGCAGGGAAATGTAGATAGATAGGGATGAAAAGTTGTCTCATGAATCAACAGGCTCCATCCAAGGGTAGGGTTTTAAAGTTAGATAACATTGTTTGTTTGTTTTGAGACAGGGTTTCTCTGTGCAGCCCTAGTTGTCCTGAAACTCTCTAGACGAGGCCAGCCTCAAATTCACAAGATCCACCAGTCTCTGCCATCACACATGGCTACCAGAGCTTTAGCCATAGGACATTAATAGGACTTCCTGGTAAGCAAAGATTCTTATAAATAAAACAGATTTCCATTTTTTTTTGGAGATAGGGTCTCTCTACATAGTCCTGGCTGTTCTGCAACTCTTTATACCAAGCTGGTGTCAAACTCAGAGAGATGCAACTGCCCCTTCCTCCTGAGTGCTGGGAATAAAGGTGTTTGCCACCAACACACTGCAGATAAAATAGGTTTTCAAGACCTAAAATTGTGTGTAGCATGCCTTTAATCCCAGCACTCGGAAGACAGAGGCACATGGATCTCTGTAAGATCAGCCTGGACTACATAGTGACTTCCAGAACAGCCAAGGCCATATAGAGAGAACCTGTCTTTAAAAAAAAAAAGAACTGAAATTACAAGATGAGAGAAAGCAGAAAGTGTTAAGACTGTCAGAAACAAACTTAGTTAGATGTTATATCTTCAACACTGAGCAACCAATACTATTTTTTGTACCTTGGGACTAATTCCATCTTCTACTTTAGTGGCTTTCCTATTTGTGATGGTGTATTTCATTCTGGAATACAGTACTACAGATACTTAAAAAGAAAGGAAAAACAGCTTCATAGTGACTCACATTTTCACAAAAGCGCTCCCGATCATCTCGGCAAGCAAAATACAAATGCCGGTCTAAATGAAAGTCATCTGAGGACAGCTCAGCCACACGGAGAATAGCTTTCTTGCAGAGTTCAGAAACTTGAATCTTGGGCTCTTTTTCTTCTGCTTCTTTCACCAGGCCTTTTTCCAAACAGGACACCACCTCACCTTGTGAATGTGCATCCTAAAATAGCAAGGATATTTTAAAACTTTCACCATATAGAGATTAAATAAACATTTGTTCTTTAAAAAAAGTAAGGGTGTGTGTGTGTGTGTGTGTGTGTGTGTGTGTGTGTGTGCTAGAGAGATGGCTCAGCAGTTAAGGAACACATTCTGGTCTAGCAGGGGTTCTGGGTTCAATTCCTACCTCTTATGTTGGTGATTCATAATTGCTCTGAACTCCAGCTCCAGGAGATTCAAAGCCTCCTGGACTCCATGGGTCTGTGTCTCTCTCTCTCTCTACACACACACACACACACACACACACACACCCCGGAAAATAAGATTCTTGGAAATTCTTAAGATTTCAAGAAAAAGTTCTATTTATTTGTATGTGTGCATCTGTATTTGCATATATGTATGGGGTCATGCAGAGGTCAGAAGAAGGCATCAGATACCCTGGAGCTGGAGTGACAGATGCTTGAGAACTGTCTAACACTGATGTTGGGAATTGAATTCTGGTCTTCTGCAAGAGCAGCAAGAGTTCTTAACCAGAGTCATCTCTCCAGTGCCAAAAACCTAGGAATTTTGGTATAGCTTAACACTAAAAATTAGGGCTTGAACTTTTATATTTTTATGGTTTAAATGTCAGGACCCACCCCATTAAAATAGTAGGCTTTACATTTTTCTAATTACATTATTTATTTAGTTTGTATATGTATGGGCAGAAATTCTTAAGAAATGACATTAACCCATTGTTACGAACAGTTTATGTTGACACAGAAGCATCTATTCACTCACCTTTAACAGTGCTTTCAATCAAGTTTGAAAGGTAACAAACTGATGGGTCAGGTGAGGTGACTCAGTGGGTAAAGAAGATTTGCCACCAAGCCCCATGCCCTAAATTCAATCCTTGGTGTATATATACACAGTGAGAGAGAAATGATTCCCAAGTTTTCCTCTGACCTCCACCTGTGCCATCACACAGAGGGGGGTAGAGGAGGAGGCAGACTGAGAGAGATAAACAAGCAGACAAACAAACACATAAAAACAAGCACTGGGATTACTGACATTACTACCACACCCAGCTACCTTTTTTTTTTTTTTTTTTTTTTTTTTTTTTTTTTTGGTTTTTTGAGGCAGGTGTAACACTGTGTAGCACTGGCTGTCCTGGAACTCACTCTGTAGACCAGGCTGGCCTAAAACTCACAGAGATCCACCTGCCTCTGCCTCCCAAGTGCTGGGATTAAACCACCACCTGGCCCAGCTACTTTTTCAAAATAAAGATATCTGAAAAGTTACGCTGAGTTCTTATGCTATTTGGTTCTGTCCATTTAGTGATTTAGTGAATTACACACAAATATTTGACAATGATGATTGTATGTCTAAGGTTGAAATGTAGCTCAGTGTTGGAGTGCTTATCTAGTATACACGGCTCATGGATTCAATCTCCAGCACAGGGGGGGGTGTGTGTATGTGTGTGTGTGTGTGTGTGTGTATCACTATAGAGCTTACTGGACATACTAGCAAGGGTCTACAATCTTAGCACTACACTAACTTGGAGGTAGAGGCAGGAGGATCAGGTGTGTTTAAAGCTATATAGTATATAGTATATACTCGGCTATATAGTAAGGTTGAGGTCAGTCTGGGTAAATGTGAAATTCTGTTTGTTTAACAGCAAAAAACACAGAAAGGAAAAAGGAAGGTGTATTGAGGATGTGGCTTAGATAGTAGAGTATGTAGCATACGAAAGGCTCTAGGTTCCAACCCTGAGACTATATAAACCACAGAGTGACACAGTCTATAATCCTATCAAAAGTTGAAGCAAAAGAATCAGGAGTTCAAGGACAGTTTCTGCTACTGAGCAAGTTCCATGCCAGCCTGTGCTACACGAAGCTTCATTTTAAAAAAAGAAAGGGGGGGGGGGTGTTGGATAAATGGCTCAGCAGTTAAGAACATTGACTGTTCTTCCAGAGAGCCTGGAGTTCAATTCCCAGCACCCACATAGCAGCTTCCAACTGTCTGTAACTCTAGTTCAAGGGGATCTGACCCCTTCATACCAAAGCACATTAAATAAAGCTAAAAAGAGAAAAAAAGCAGGTAAAGTCCTTGCTGTGTAAGCATGAGGTCCAGAGTTGGGATCTCCAGTACTCACATAAAGGCCAGGTTGACTCAGTGGCCTATCTGTAATCCCAGCCTTGGAGAGGTAGAGAAGAGATCCCTGGTGGCTATCTAGACTAGATGAAGCAGTACGCTTGGGATTCAAGTGAGAGATCCTGCCTCAATATTTAAGATGGAAAAAGACTGAGGAAGACACCAACATCAACCTCTGTCCCCCATGCATGTACATACATGAGCAAGCATACATACATGAATACACATTATATATACATGCAACCCCCTACCAAATG